AATTCAACGCTATCTGGTGTTCTGAGGAACCAGCTTGAACATCACTGCTTAGTACTCGCCTACGCACATCATCGTTGCGGACACGCTGGGGCCATCCGACACTAGCAATGCTTCCCAAGCGGCGATGAGCAAAGACTTGAAGACGTCTCAGATCGAAGGGACCAAGTCTCACTCCCGTAGAGTAAGACGGCCTTCACTGTGGCCTTGTAAACACGGCCTTTCAGACGGAGGGAAATACCCTTCTGTCGCAGATTCCAGAAGACAGTTCTGGCTTTTGCAATGCGTGAACTGACTTCAGGTCCTATGCGCCCATCGTTGCTGATGCAGCCGCCAAGGTAAGGAAATCGATCAACTAATTCGAATTTCTCGATATCAAGATTCATGGATTCATCAAGTGGCTGGTGGTACTGCAACAACATTTTGTACTATGAAGTTGCGAAGCGTATACCAAATAATGGGAGCACTCTAGAGAGGTTTCTCAGAGCTGATTGCGCCGCCGAAGCATCGTTAAATGGAAAGACGATATGGTCCGCATAAGCAAGAGCAACAGCGTCTTACCAGGCAGCATATAGGTCTCACAGCTGTGCTTCACTGTGCCCAATATTTATGATGTTTGTTTCTTAGTAAGTGTGCGACGATGGTCAGTACAAGTATGTGAAATGTCAGGTAATAGCAGTTGCAATGACATAGTACTGGATATGGTATGGGTAACGCGAACTGTATCGAAAAATTAGGCACGTAGGTAAGGAGCATGAGAAAGTGCAGGGTGAGTACGAAAGCAGAGGCAATAAAGCAAGGGTGCATCCTAAATTCAAGCCGATCAGACAAATAAGGCTATAAGCACTAGTCGCCATGATGAATGACAAATACAGTGCCTATAAGGCTAATGAAATACCATAAAATAAGAAAACAGAATCAGCGAGTGGCCATAAAGCACAAATTGCGAAGTGCAGTGTAAAGCGCGTTGCAACAAGACTGGACCTCAACGTGGTGACGGTCTGCGTACCTCCTTGATCCATTGAGCTATACTGGGTAGTGCCTCCGGGCCCTTTGAGAGCTACACCCACCTAGTTGGACAATGGTTAGAGGTCAGACAAACTCAGTCTCCTGGTCCTCCAAGATGGGGGGGTATGAAATGGGATGGCGTCCATTTCCATAAAACTAAATTATTGCCAACTTCTGCGACCTTGCGAGCAGGTTTTTGAGCCAAAGGCTTTGGATGAGGACCTTAATCGTCCTCCTGTATAAGTTTGGGCGCCCTGGCAGTATCAGTCCACATACAACCATGACAACTACACCAAATTACATCCTGCATCGGTCGTCGCGCAGATCATCAAGCAGCGCCTTATCTGCCGTATACAGCAGGGCGGATAAGCGAAAACATGCTACTGCTGGCGTCTCCCTTCTTTCTTTTCCACCTTTTTCTCTTACTCCCATCTCGACCCCCATTACTAACCTTCCTTCTATAATTTCTAACTGAAGTGCCACTGGAGTAAAACCATCTGCAGCCACCTTCCGGCAACACTCATCGGACGCGTATCGGCAACAGTCCCTTATAAGGCCACGCTGTCTCATTTCCCCAGCGGCGTTCAACATTCTCAGACAAATAGGTCAACAGGCTGAACTCGTATGCAGGTAGGACACAATGGGCATTGACGTGTGTTGTGTGTACGAAACTACGATCAATGACCTTAATGGGGTTATTGAAGTAACTGCGCCCGGCTTGTCCTCCCACTACTGCTTGCAGGCATCCGGAGACTAATGCGGCAGCCTCTGGTCAAGCTGGGCTAGCAATGGTAGCTCCAAGGATGAGTCGTCGTGGGTTATTGGATTCCGGTAAACAGCCGTTTATATGTAGCCCGTTTGACGATGACAACTAAGGTTGGTTCACGAAGTAGTACAAAACGATGTTTGCTTGTGATTTCCGCTCATACTCCCACCGACTGCAGTCCTAAGGCTGTCAGAAACACATTCTATCACGAACTGAACGCCCTACTACGCAGTGCTACTAGTTCAAATAGTATAGTACTTGCAGGAGAAATGAACGCACAAATAGGGCGTCTGAGCTCTTCAGAAGCTCAATTGGGTGGTAATTATGGGCTTAACTCCGAACGGACTGACAACGGCGAGTGTCCACTGCAACTGTGTGCGGAGCACCAGTTGTTTCTTAGTAGCACTGCTTTTAGACGCAGTGGGCGGCGAAGTGTCACTTGGCGTCCCCCCTGTAGCTGGCCAGCGATGGACCCAAAATGACCATATAACCATAAGTTACAGGTGGCGTGGTTCCATCCTGGATTGCCGCTCGTACTGGAGTACCTGCGTCGACTCTGATCATGCCTTGGTAGACTGTCGTTTCTCGATGAACTTTACCGGGAGGCGCATCAAGCGTCTCCTCCGATTGAGCCTGAAAAATTGTAATGCTTCCGTCTCAGCTGCTTACAAGCTACATAGCAGAACCTAGTCCAAAAAAGCACCAGACGCGTTTCGCCCTATTGGGGCTCGTCAGTGGTGCGCATTTCCTCGGTCACAGACTGGGAATCAAACCCATGAAAAATTGTTTCAGTCCTCGGTCAGGCAAGCCTATTAAGTTGCACTGCATACAGAATTCTCGCTGTCTTGTCCTATTGACAATGACCTTCAGTGGAATAGGGACTCGGCCGCTATGCACGACGCAGGAGCATCTGCTTATGGCACTATCAGACGTCACCGCACCAGTCACTGGATATCTGAGAGATCGGTGAACCTTTTGGAATCCAGTAGGAACCTCCCGGCTGTCTGAACACAATGTGATCAGACGGACTATTAGACGCAAACTAAAGCGGAGCCTGCGTGTTATCAAGGAAGCCTGATGGACCATTCGGGCTCAAGAAATGGAAGAGGCAGGAGCAGTAGGCAATTACCGCAAGTTCTTCCAGCTGATCCGCACCACCGGTCCCAGGAAACCAGGCATCAGTGAGACAAGCAGAGACAATGCAGGTACACTGACACACAATAAGGAGCGCCATGTGGCTGTTGAGCAGAACACTTTCAAGATCAGTTCAGTTGGTCCCCCGCTCCCGGGCCTTTTCCAACTCAGGTGATGCAGAACGAGCCACCGATGTTTAGTTTAAAGGCTCCACCGGAGCTGAGGTCCGAAACGTGATCATAGCCCTCAATCACTTTCATGTCACTGGTCCAGATTCCTATCCACCTGCACTATTAAAGGATAGGGTAAGGTCATCAGCAAAGCACTAACCTCCCTATTCGTACAGACCAGGAAGAAGTGTCCCGGCTAACCTGAGTGGATCCATTACAGTGGCAATATACAAGGTGAGTCGCACAGACTGTGCTTACCATAGGGATGTTAGCCTAACGCCAGTTGTTACAAAATTACAGGCCTCCATTCTCGTTCGTCGCCTCACTGTGAAACGGGAATCTCGGATTAGGGAAGAGCAGTCAGGTTTCCACCCAGGAAAAGGCTGTACAGGCCACATATTCACTCTGCAGCAGGTGCTAGAGCAGCGCCACACATACCGCAGACTGGCAATAGCTGTGTTCCTCGACTTTAAGAGTGCGTTCAATTCGGTTGATCGATGCATTCTGTTCGAAATACGCGCGGAAAGGTGTTCCCACGAAATATGTGCTCTATACTCGAACGCTACGGGCCGCGCTAGGGTTTACAGTGATCTGTCGGATAACTTTCCGACAAAAAGTGACGTTCGTCAGAGTTGTCCGGTTTCCTCATTTTGTACTCAATGTTGTCGTGAACTGCATCATAGTGTTCCCTTAAAGAATTTTGGGAGGTAGGCATTGACGTCTTGCCTGGCGAAAGTTTGGTTGATCATGATTAAACAGACGATGTCGTCTTGATGTTTAACGATTTTGGGCCGGCAGAATCAACCCTGAAAACAACCTTCAGAGTGGTCCCATTATTTGGTATGCGCTTCGCATCTACAAAGTGAAAAGAGCTGCCGCAAGACCACCAGCCCCTGGTTGAGCAGTTGACCCCTGATAACGAGGAACTCGAGGTGGTTGATCGATGCAATTAACTTAGCAGCTGCATTAGCAACGATGGGCGCATAGGACCTGAAGTCAGTTCACGCATTGCAAAAGCCAGAACTGTCTTCTGGAATCTGCGACAGAAGGGTATTTCCCTCCGTCTGAAAGACCGTGTTTACATGGCCACAGTGAAGTCCGTCTTACTCTACGGGAGTGCAACTTCGTCCCTTCGATCTGAGACGTCTTCAAGCCTTTGCTCATCGCCGCTTGCGAAACATTGCTAGTGTCGGATGACCCCAGCGTGTCCGCAACGATGATGTGCGTAGGCGAGTACTAAGCAGTGATGCTCAAGCTGGTTCCTTAGAACACCAGATAACATTGAATTAGTTGCGTGGGTTTAGACGCGTACCTCGTATGCGCCGGCACCGCTTACCGAGGAGAACCTTATTTTGTCGGTGAAACATAGGGTGGTGCAAGGCTCGAAGTTGACGAAACGTGACTTGGGAACAGGGATTGTAATCAGCCGTTGGTACACCCGGCCTTCCAGGCTGGAGTCCACGCAAGTTGACTTGTGCTTGGCTGGAGAGTTTACAGGGCAAAGCTCGCGAGTGACACCAGTGGCGCGTCCGCTGCGGTCTCCCAGTCGGACTGCCTGTTTAAAATGTGTTTAGTATTGAGTTGTCTGCGGGGTAGTGGCCGATTACTATGCGAAGAAGCTGTCACGCCGATGCCGCCTTATGTTTGCACGAAGGCCAGATGTTTGTGAAGGTATGTTGTTTAAACAAGGTGTAAGGGCCTAAACCCTGCATGTTTTTCTAGGAAATTAAGGTTTTCAGGTAAGTCTCCCTTTTCCTCTTCTTTTTCTTTGTTTCATAGGTAATCATGGTTGTATGGCAGCGAAGCATCGGTTCACATGGCTGATGTATTGCTGTTGTTGATTGACTGAATGCAGTGGACAATGTATGCGAGATAAAATTATAGATGGCAAGGAGTAGAAGGAAAGAGGGTCAATAGCAACCAACCTTGAATGTACGGTCACGACGCATTAATAGACGAAATCGCCCAGTGCTCTTATGTTGGAGGATCTTGACGTAACCTGTCCCACGATCCTTCCATTCCGGGGGTTCTTCCGCTCGATCATATCGATAAAGTTTGGCTTTCCTAAAAGTATGATGAATGAAAGCATTACCCTTTGAAAATGCAATCCTCGTCCTGCTCTGTGTTCAAAACGGTTACTGGTGGAAGAGCTATTGACCGGAAATATGATTCGCTATTTGAGGAGTTAAGCTAAAAAAATTAAAAATAAGGGCGTAACCAACTGAATCCTCAAAGTCTGTCATATTCTGGGTGACGGCGGTTCGTCAAATTTAGCCGTTAAACAAATTGATGAAGCTGACCGCAGCTGTTGAGATACTGCGTGGTTAGCGCAGGAGAGTGAAATAATGGTAACGAGCTGAAACAGAAAAGTACAAACCCAAGTAGAGATTTGTGCTTAGAGAATGAGGCATTACAATCATTGAGCGCCGGACAAGCCTAGGGCGTGGAAGAATCTACAAGCATGGATGAACCGAATGGTACCACTCATCGTAAATAAGTAAGGAGGTAGTTTCTATTTGGACTCGGGAGTCGCGGAAGAGATTTCAACGTAGGAGGTACTCTGGGACGCTTGTCAGAAGTACCACAAGCTGGTAGGGTCGATTATTTCCACATACATTAACTAGCGATAAACGGCACAGCAAAAGCCGGGCGATAAAAGGAGAATAACTGCAGTCGGAAAATCGAGGGGCGTTGGTGCGATTAACACAATGAGCGCAGTCAGATACGTCAAGATGTCTCCATTTCCGTGTGTTGGAGCACTACGCATAATAGAAGGACGGTAAGTTAGGGAAGATATGTCAAAAACAATACCTGTCCATTTCGTCCATCTCGTGGTTGGGAAGAACCAAACAAACGCTATGCAAGACTGTGAATAGAGTAACATTTATCATACCTACAGACCAAAGTGCCACTCGTTCATCCTACACGTTAGCAAGATAGGAGAAATACTGTAGCTAATGCGTTGCAATGGAATGTAGTAATATGTGAGAAAATGAATAAGAAAATAATTAGTCTGACCAAGTACAAAGTAGAAACGAGCAATATTATGTTTTGTAATGTTATACATCGACAGGGAGATCATGATTGGAGAGGGAGGTTAACTGAAATGGGAAGGGATAAAGGAACTCACAACACAAACGTTAATGTGGTCGGCTCTTCACTATGTCTGCAAGTGTCTCCAATCAGAAGTGTTCAACGTCATTTGGTACCCAACCCAGGAGTCCAGAGGTTCCAACCGATGTCATGTTGAGAGTCAGAGTCTACATTCCTCAGGACCAATTAAGCAATCAATCTTCCCGACCCTTCTTCCATATAGCTCATGCAAACAACGCACAATCTCAAGGTAAATACATTCATTTTGCCACAAACTAAATGCATCGAATAGAGGCACAATAGCTGGGACATCTATCATTCCTAGACAACATGTAGAATGACTATGCAACGTCCGTGTCTTGAAAAAAAAATCAAGAGTTAAACAGGCATTCGAACACCGTGGCAAACGCCACTTGTGGTCGGAAAGATATCAGACAAGTCATCGTAGACTCTGACGCGGCTTGCATTGTTAGAATACAAGGCAAGCAAAATGTTCACACGTATTTCATGGAAACACCTTTCCGTGCAAGCATTTCGAACAAAATAGATCGATTGACTGAATCGAACGCACTCATGTAGTTGAAGAACACAGCTATTGTCAGTGTAGGAAATGCGATGTTGTAACAAGTGTCACAGTGAACATTGGGTCTAAACAGGTTAACCCGTAGCCTTAAGGATCACAAGCCTGTATTGTAATCCAAAGGTGTGGCTCCGAACCGGATGACCCGCGCAGTGTTCTTGGTGAGAGCGCGACTGGTGGTGGTTGCGAGGCAGAGAAGTGTCAGCACTGCGCACCGGCGTATTGCTGATGCCTTTTCTATGCAGTTGCGCCCCGAGCGATAACCAGCCCCCTTTTGTCTAACCCGAGCTTCTTGTTCCGCAGTGAGATAAACGATAATTAGGACCAGAAATAAAGTCACCACTGGGTTTAGGTTAACACCCTTAAGGTTAGTAAATTCGGTGCGACAGCCCACTATGATCGATTCGCCCCAGTTGGTACTGATGGTCATTTTTTTCCACTCGAACATGGTCAGAATCCAAGCACATGCTGTAAATTGACCGATAGTCTTTAATTTATGTGCACCGTCGATAGCTGATAGCAATACAATAATAATGGATATTCTCGTAGACATAGACGCACTAATGCAGGTATGATTAAATTCGGTGGTTACAGATAAATTCGGTGGGCACCAGGTGACAAGATGTGAACGATTGCGCCGGAAAGCGCTGCTGTTAGTAAAATTACTTCCGTCAGAACGTATCTATAAGGATCGGTCGATATTGTCCACTCGGAGTGCTTAGATTCCGAACTGGTCTCCCAAGTGTTGTTCTGAGCCTGAAAAATGACCCAATTTGGTAGTCATTTCAACAGTAACTATCAGTATTTTTCGCGATGTGGAGACGAGAGGAGAGCTGACGATAGAAATCGATGTTGACACTCTCCGAACTAAATTACATTACATACATTATATACCTTAGTTAGAGGTGGAAAACACTTCAGCTACTGTGCTGTAATACGGAAAAAAAGATGACAACCGGTGCACGTAGGCTGAGTTACCTGTAACAAATGGGTATGGTTCCGGAAAGCTACCAGCCAGTTACCATGCTGCAAAAAAATCATTATCCAAAATTTGTATTATGCTAAGAAATGATATCAAGGTTGGAGTGACAGTCTCAGAGGAATATACAACACGAACGTCACTGATATCGGCTACTGATCATCTCAGCAAGTGTATCCAGCCATCACTGAAATGCAGTTAGGAGGGGAATAAATGGGGATGATGAAAATGCACATTGTCTTTAGATGCTGTTTCAGTTCAGTTGAACAACTATGACCCGAGCACTGAAGTGCAGTGGATCCAGTTTCCACGACTCACGACTGCCGATCCATTGGACTAGGTTTCACAACCGCGGGTACACTCTGCTCTTCAGGGAGAAACTGAAGTCGCGCCGGCGTCAAAGATGGCGAAAGTTAGCAAAAGCACTTCAAGCTTTTGCTATACGGTTGGGAACGTCGCCTTCGGTTCCGCAGGCGCTGACTGCCTAGATAGTTAAATTTCTGAACGAGTTCTAGTTGGTCCCCACTGAGGGTCAGCGCAGGTCCATGTCAATGTTGAAAGATAGTTTTGTGCTGAGAATACGAAGGAAAGCCCGAAGCTTTGAAAAGCGAGCGCTTATGTGTCTAATGCTGCTTGGCATATTTGTAAGCTGTCTCAACATAATCCAAGTAAAGAAATAGTTAACCTGGGAGCAGCTCCACACCCTTTAAGTCGTGACCAGTAAACGCGATCTCCATGACTTTGTCAATAGCGAAATTGAAGAGAAAGGGTAGTATCAAGCATTCATGTCTTATATTGCTGAAGATAATGAAGAGCAGCGATAGCCTGCCGTAAGCTATCACTCTGCTTGGGCTACGCGTGTAAAGCGCTCGGATAATAAGTACATATTCCACGGACAGACCATCCTTAGCAGAGTCCCAAAGGCACCTTTGATGTAGAGAAACAGGACAACAGTGAGATACCAATATATGGGACGGTTATAAACAACTGGCGTGTTTTGAAGAGGCGGGTCAATGCAACCTCTATTTCGATGTAACTTGATTTGTTTATCACGAGTATGGCCTTCGTGGGTGCCAATCAATCTGTGAAAAATAGCAGAGGCAGATAATTTGGAGGCGATGGAGATAAGACTGATTCCTAAATGGTTGTCGCATTCCGAACGCGAGCCTGTGTTGTTGACCGGGACAATAACGGAGGGACCTCAGTTGGTCTGGACAGCCACCTGCTCCCAAAGTTTCACTAATAACTCGTGTAAACCATCAGAAACGTAAGTCCCCTGAGGTTGATGAGGGCTGGGGAAAGATCATCTGGTCCCGCGGCCCTATTCAACATCAACAACTTGATCCCACGTTAAACGTTTGAGCGAGAGGACGGATCCACAGTACAGCGCAGGAAGCAGGACGATCACTAGCTGGAGAGAAATCTGACAGTTAAGAAGTACCAAATTCCTTTTCATAATGTTCAGCCTAACACTACATGCGTTTTGACAAGTTGTGGATAGGCTGCCCACTCTCGTCACCTATATTCCCACTAATATCAGGTCTCCTGCTACAGGTTTCCCGTAGCAAACAGAAAAACGTCCGATGGTTACTAAGGACAGCGGCCACTTCCATCTCTGACGCACGAGGAGACCATCAAGATTCGTGGTCTCTTTTCAGGCTAATACGCAGTTTCGTCCTCAGTTCTTTGCGAGTCTCGTTGTGTTTGCTTCCAGCCGGAAGATGCGGGCAAGCATCAATAGATTCCAGAGACTGCAAAAAGACCCAATGTAAAGAGACTGGCCAGCAGACTTGCCACATGAGGATTTGCCTACTGCTAATAAGGTCTGGTGAACATGTGACCAGTGACCTTCGACTGCTTTCAGTGCGATAACTCAATCTGAATGCCAGCGTATTTCGATACGTATTCAAAACATTTGGTTTCGCCAGTTGGCTGGTGTCTATACGCTAACAGCGTCATTACGGGTGTCTGCCAAAACACACCCGCAGATCAGTACACACAAGTGCATGATCTGTGTCCACACATGTGCTCCAAATTGAGCGACTGTTATGAACGTAGCCTCTCCAACGGCAACTGACAGTAATGTGATAGCTTTGAGTCCATAACTGACCTAAGGCTGGTGGGCGCCATGTCACCCTCCGGCGGGTGGTGTGTCAAAAATTAGTGCCCGCAAGAAAAATGCGAGCATCTCCACACAAATGAAGTAGCCGCTAACCGTTATCATTACGGGAGCCTACATCATGTTGACCACCCAGATAAAGCTCATCAGTGGATAGTTCTCAACTTCAGACCTCTAGCCAGCATTACAGTGTCCGTAATACTTCTGTGAGGAAGGATGTCGTACAGTTGGCGATAAAGTCGTCTTTTACCGAGTCATCGCTACGGTTTTTGGGAACGTAAGCAATGATGACAGACACCTATTAGCCCAACGCGACTTCGAAGCTTTGAAAGAGAAAGCCAGTCGGACGGCAAGTGTTCGGTTACTGATTCGGATCAAATCAACCAGAGCAGCTTCAGCCCGGGGACTCAGGGCAATACAAACCGGCTTGGTCGCCACTCGAAGCTGAATTATCCCCGGATAGACGCAGTGAGAAAGCACTGCTAGTGTCACCTGAAGACGATCGCAAAGCGAGCACAGAGCTTGGGTCTGGCAAGCAGGTTTCCGATAAGCAGCAGAAACGGATCGAGAGTCTCGAATGTTCAGA